ACCATTAAAATTGTTTCAATATTAATTTTTGAAAATTATTAATAAATAAGAGGAAAAATTATATTTTAATTTCTTTTTTTTTTTTTTTTAAAGAAACATTATTAGAGAAAAATACCTCAACTAGATTCGGTTCCAATTCTCTCCCTTTTCCTAATGTTTATTAATATTTAAGTTTTTAAGCTAATTTAATTGCCAAATTCTTTTACAATATTTTAAGTTAAATAGTTTATTAGTATTTAAGTTACAAAATTTGATTACTTTATTTATTTATTTATTTTTTTGTTAAAGTGTACACATACTCATACGATTAATATTATTATTGTTGTTGTAGTTAATTCTTTTTTTTTAAAAAAAAAAAAATCTAATTGTTTTGATTATATTTTGTTAGATTATATTTTAGTTTATTTAAAAAATTGAAACGAAAACAAAAGATAAAAAAAGTAATTTGTTTTTTTTTTTTTTTTTTTTTTTTTTTTTTATTATTAATCCAATAATTGTTTACTTAACTTTTCAGATTTTTACTGTAATATTTTATCAAATAATAACACTGCTTTCATTTATTTCATTAAAATTACGATCTCATTTTTAAATTTAAAACTAATATTTTAACTTTTTTTTAAGATTAAAACTACTGTTTTAACTATTTTTTTAAATTAAAATTATTATTTTAACACAATTTTCAGTGAAATCTAGTTCAATACGCATCTATTATACAATTCAAATATTTTTTATCTATCGATTTTTTTTTTAATCTAACTAATACTAAATGATTTGCATAATTAATTTTATATACAATAATTTGATAAAGTAATTTGAAGTTTGACGAAAGGTTAATAATTTGTAGATAAATTTAAATTGATATCAATTTTATAAAATATTCCTTTCTTGTAATCTCTAGAAATGAGGAAGGAAAATTCAACTAAACTTTTTCTTTTGATCTTTAGAAATGGCAAAAAATCCATTTCTAAACTTTTTTCTTGCAATTTTTAAAAATGAAAAATTTTTTTTACCTTTTCACCTATTTTATTTTATTTCTTTCAGATCTTTTCCGTCATTAACACGTGTATCAACAAAAAATCGAAGTTTACATGGAACAAATCCACAATCTCGTGGTGAATCATCGCTTGAATTAGAAGCAATTGCTGCTGTGCATGAACTTTCATTTGCTGTGCAAACAATTTCAGTTTCCGAAATACTTCCTCGAACACCGGATTTAATCTTTGTTAATGTCACCACTACTGAAGGTTACCACCGGAAAAGAAAATTTCATTTTCTTCATTAAAAAAGAAAATTCATTATTATAAAGAATATATTATATATTGAAATATTAACTTGACGATTTCCATTCAAGATGCGTCTATTTAGGCTTTTTTTCCTGAAATATTTGAGCTAATTGTTCTTACGTAAAGGTCACGTACGCTAACGTAAGTACAGAATTGTGGTAAAGTAATTTGAAAGGATGGATAGCAAAAGTATAGCTATACTGAGATATATAGCATTACGGAATACTAATGTTTTAGTTTATTCTATCAAATGTTTCTATAAATCATTTCATAACTTTTAAATTATTGTTAAAGTCATAATGTTTATTTATTTATTTACTCAATTAATTAATTTATTTATTTAATTTTATTTACTCATTGCCTAATTAATTTACTTATCTAATTTTTTTAAATTAACTAATTAATTTCATAACTCTTAAATTATTGTTAAAGTGATAATTTTTATTTATTTGTTTGCTCAATTATTTAATTAATTAATTTATTTATTTACTTATTCACTGCTTAATTAATTAATTTGCTTAAATTAATTAATTAATTTCATAATTCTTAAATTATTGTTAAATTGATAATGTTTATTTATTTACTTAGGTCAACCATACTGCTTGGAACTAACATTAAAAGGTTGGCGTATCACGTCATTACGTCATGATTGCATGCACGGTGACTATACACGTTTGGAACTTTTCACCGTATACTATGACACGTTGTATGATTTAATGGATAAATTGTCACCAAATTATAGAAATCTTTTCAGTGAAAAATTAGCACAAAAATTACGTATGCTTCAGGTAAATTTCTTTTCTTTTTTGTTTTCATAAATTTCTTTTTTCATTTATCTAAAAAAAAAAAAAGAAGTAAATAAATAGAATAGAAAATGTTAATTAATATAATTTTAATTTTTTACAATTTGTTTAAAATATATTATCTAATTTTTGTTGTTATTATTATTATTATTTCTTTGAAATTATCATAAATTTCTTTCAATATTTTTGCATTAATTCATTTTTTTTTTAAAAAAAAGGTGAAAAAATAAAAGAAAAAAATGTTGAATTAACTAATTGTTAGTTAATTAAGTAAAAAAAAAACTTAATTAGTTAATTTAATAAAAAAATAAAACTTAATTAATCAAGTTTTATTTTTTTATAATTTGCCAATATATTACCCGATTTTTTCTTTTACTTCTTTAAAAGTATACTATAATGCCAATATTATCATTATTTTATTAATCAAATAAATACTTTTTTATCTTATCATAAAACATTTCATACAAACATATCATTTTATATTTAAAAATTTTCTCCCTTTTTTTCCCTTTTTAATCTTCTATTTCTAATCTTTATTTAAAGCATTTAATTATAGACTGATGATGATGATGATGATGATGATGATAATGGTGATGGTGATGGTGATGGTAATGATAAGGATAATAATAATGATAATGATAATGATATGATAGCTTCAACACCATTTTCTACTGCTACACAATCAACAAATTTAACTGATAATTTAGACAACACTGAAACACCAAATCGTCATACAACTTCAACAGATGACTCACAATCAAATGATAATGTTATCAGTCATGATGAAAATGATGATTAATTTACATAAGTTCATTACTGATTAACAATTTTTATACATGCACTTAAATCATAAAATCATACAATTCTAATCACCAATTATTAATAGATATATCAAATTCTTTTTCATCTTTTCCTTTCTTTTCCCTAATCTTTTTATTTCCAATTTAAAATTTAAATTTTCTTGTATTTTTTTTTTATCAACAAACATACAATTACTTACATACATTTTTTTTTTCATTAATTGGATTATTCTAATTCTAGATTTTTCAAATTATTTAACTTTTATCTAACTTTTTTATTTTTTTTATTTTTAGAAAAAGAAAAAGTTAAATTTTTGTATGAAATTTATTCTTACTAAATACGGACTTTTCTCACTAATTTCCATCTTTTTCCATTGTTATATATTGTACATTATGGAAAATTTTTGTTGCTTTTTCCTTCCTTTTTTCCTTCTTTTCATTTCTAATTTAAATTTTTACTATCACAGCTATATTATTAGCTAAAATTTTAATTTTTCAAAAATGATTTCAATACATTTGAATAACAAAATAATCATTTTAGCAGTATTTTAATGATTGCAAAAAATTACAAAGAAAAAAATTGAATGAATTTACTAATTAGCACTCATATTCAATAATAAATGAAAAAAAAAAAAAAATTATTTCATTTTTGATCATATTTTAACATTTAGATATATCATTAAAATAATTTATTAACAATTGAAAATAGAAATGAAACAATTAGGATTAGAATTTATATTGTTGTCTTCTTGATATGATTACAAGTTATTTTGATTATTATTACTATTATTTATTTATTTTACTGTCAACTGTTATTTTTCTTTGCTTTCTTCTTTTTTTTTTTCTTTCTTTCTTTGTGTCACAATTTCTGATGAAAACAAAAATGAAAAATGTCACCAAAATAAAGCAATGAATGTTTCACAGTGTCAACTGTATTTGACTAATTTAACAGTATATTTAAATACATTCAGTAATATTTTGAATTCAATTTTCTAGAAGAATATAAATTGAAAAAAATTTTTTTGAAAATTTTTTGCAAAAATATTTACGTCTTTTATTTTTAAATAAATGTAACATTATTGCAACGGACGTTTGTTACGTCATTCAGTGCAATATATAATGGTATTTTACGTGTAAACAAACAAATAGCGTATAATAAAATATAAAAAACATAATAGCAAAGAATTTTTGTTAACATATTCGTTTGATAACGACGAATAAAATGACAATGAGTCATTTGAATTGATGTTTTCTGTAAACTGAATTGAAGAATTATTAATTGATAAATGGGTAAGAGATTTACCCAGCATACGGGTATCAATCTGAGAGTGACGTACGTTAGCAATGCAACGTGGAAGAGAATAAACCAATGAAAGAAAAAGAGTATATGTATAATATAAATGATCACACATAATCATTTGCTGATAAAAAATGGAAAAATCAGAGCAGAAAAAATCGAAGGATATATGGAAAGACAAAGAGACAGAGAAGCAGACAGAGAGACAGACAATTGAATGTTTCATTTAGCGCTTTACTTTGGAGGGTAGTAGGTACCATAAGCTGCAGAGAGCGCCGTCGTCGTTGGTTTCCTATCGCGGTGACACTATTTCCTATCATCGAAGATAGACCGTGTCGTCGACCAAATTAAACCAAAGATTACGTCGTGCTCTGTCATTGTCAACTGTCGTTTACTTGTAGAAAACTGCTGCTTCTTTTGCAACTTCCATCTACTTTCATTTGTCCATTTTAGTCTGTCTTTTTTTCTCAAATTAAGCACAGATTTGTTCTCACGACTGGTTGACCTTTGATCTTTTAAGCATACAAATTGTAGCTTTATGGTTTCAAGACTATTGTACTATTGTTGTTGCTGTCATTGTCTTCTCTTCATGATGAAAGAAAGGTCATATTTCAAAACAGCTTAATATTGTGTCATTTTGTTATGTGTCTTTTTACATAGGCCTAAAAATATACCATAGGCCTAAAAATGTCAATAGCGCATCACGCGCAAATGTGAATGCTGCAAACTACGTTAGCATATGCATTTGTGTGTATTTTGCTCGAATGTTTATCAAATTTGAGGGAAATATATTTGACGATTGTGTCACAGTGGAAAAATGGTATCAGAAACAGAAACAGTAGGAGCTGTCACTGATAATTGTATGGATGAGGTGGACATGGAGACAATGAAAGTCGTTCAGGAACAGTTCCTCTCTGCCGATGCTAATGAAATTAAGGAAGTTAGCGAGCACTCAAAACAGGTAAGTAATCCTCCTTGTTATCTCTTATGAAATGCGGGAAAGGAGAGACGGGTGGGTAAAAGTTACATTTTGCAACATTGCGAAATAGAGGAGAAAGACGGGCAAGTGGAGAAGAGACGGGCAAGCGATCATCTCACTCTCAGTGATTGATTGTTCTCTGATCATTTGGAGTTATGAAAGATTTTTTGGATTTGCCAGCGATCACAGAATTTTTTGTTATTTTGAACATTGTATAAGGCGGCAAGATTACGGATGTGAGCAATCCAGATTAAAGGAGAATTTCGTGAAGAAAATCCCAGGTAAATCCCGCGACAGATTAACAGTGAAAATCCTCGGTATTGTGATTTGTTAGTGTAGCAATGTCTGAGGAAGATAAGCAGAATTTTCGTGCCTACAGGAGTGAAATAGAAAATTATCTGCTGCTCGGGTCACATAGTATTTCTTTACCTGGCATCAAATGTTTTTGTTTTTGCATTGCAGGTTAAATTCAAAACTCAAATTGTATGGAGGAATGTGGCGCTATTTTCAGCTCTCCATGTCGCATCACTGGTCGGTATTTATCAGTTTATTTTCCTCGCCAAATGGCCAACATTATTTTGGTGTAAGTTATGCTATTTGTCTTTCTTAGAAAATGATTAATTTCAGTTTAAACACTGTTTTCTTATTTTAGTGTTTTGTTCAATGATAGCTTTTAGTTCATAACGTCTATTTATGCTTTAGATTGCACCTGTTGGCTAATGGGCGTTATGGGTATCACTGCTGGGGCACATCGTCTTTGGTCTCATCGTAGTTATAAGGCCAGATGGCCTGCTCGGCTCTTTTTGATGTTTTGCAACAGTATGGCTTTCCAGGCAAGTTTCCTTCCATTTGTTTATTATATCTTTTGCATTTTTTGAATTCATCGATATCGCTCGAATTTGAATTGTTCCACTGCACTCCCTTAATTTGTTTTGCATTAGTGATTGCATATTATGTTTAGAACGATGTAATTGAGTGGTCACGAGACCATCGTTGTCATCACAAGTGGACAGATACTGATGCTGACCCGCACAATACCACAAGGTAGGTTAGTTTATTGTTTTCCTCACCATTTCTCATCAACTTGCATCATCAATGCTAAATGTATTTTCCATTTTATTTGGCTTTTTGAATGTTATATTATAGAGGAATGTTTTTTGCTCATATGGGTTGGTTGATGGTTCGTAAACATCCGGAAGTGAAGAGAAAAGGCTCTCAACTAGATCTGAGTGATTTGTTCAATGATCCTATACTTGCATTTCAGAGAAGGTTTATTTTCTGCTTATTACCAACAGTTTTCATGAATTATGGTCGAAGAATCTTTCTTTGCTTTTGCTTTCGTGTGACGGTTTTCCTGAAATCATGCCTAATACGTAGACGGATATGAGCTAAAAAAGTGAAAAATAGATGATAAGGCTGTGGGTTTAGTGTACAGCTAACTTCTTAACAGTTAGTAGCAATGCTGTAATTTATATCCTTTGCTTTATTTTCCGTTTAATTTAATTTACTAATTCTAACTGTTAATTCAGACACTACTTAAAAACAGTACTATTCGCTTGGTTTATTGTGCCAACCTTTGTACCGATGTATTTTTGGGGAGAATCCTTCATGGTCGCTCTTTATACTTGCACATTATTAAGGTTAACTTTTCATTTGTTAAAAATCTGTTTTGCGGGAAAAAATTTATTGATTTGTTTCTGGACATTTCTGTGCTCAAATATGATCAGTTTTGGTTCATATTCATATCTTAGATACTGCTCTACTCTGCATGGTACATGGCTAATCAATTCGTTGGCACACAAATATGGCTTCAAGCCTTACAATCCGAATATAACACCTGTTGAATCATTATGGGTCAGTTTAGAGATTATTAATCGTTTTTGGACCTATTTGATCTCAATTTTGCGAAAGAAATCAATGCTACTGCTCAGCCATCATGCTTTCGGCATACAAAATTCTTACTAGCATTACGGTGGCGTTTATTTTCCCAATTTCAATTTCCTTTCATAAAATTGGTTTTGCTGTAATTGGAAGGTAAGCAGTGGTGTTTAATTTCAGCTAGCGGTAACGGCAATGGGTGAAGGCGGTCATAACTATCATCACACTTTTCCGCAAGACTATCGAACATCTGAATATGTGCTTCACTTTAATGTAACAAAATTATTCATCGACATACTATTTTTCTTGGGATTGGCATACGACATGAAAGTTGTCCCGCAAGAGGTAATATTTAATCATTAAAGTGGGTTGCTGCTTAATAAGAAATAATGGTTCTGATTTCAACATGTCAAATGTTGTCTTTTATTTTATTTCTTACGAATAGGTAGAGGTTTTTACAGAATGTATTGCTGGGAAAAAGTTATTGAAAATTAAATGAAAAAGTTAACTTATTTCATTTGGCAATTAATTTTATCGTATGGAATTTTGCAGATAATTGAACGACAGAAAGCAAAATACGTGAAGAAATGTAATTGATTCAATGTGGAGTGTTTGAGCGCTTCATTTTATTGCACTATAATAGGTAGACATCGTTTTCTTATTCAGTCTTTCCAGACTGTCTTTCTTTCAGGTTATTAGGATGCGGTAGCATTAGAGAGAAATATTATCTTATAGAATGATGTCATAATTTACTGAGACTTCAGTATGTCGCTTTATTTGATATATCATTGTAATGTAAATTCCATTTCACATATCTCTTCGAATTTTATCATTGAATGGCAGAAGATTAAAATTACATGGTTATTTGTTGCTGGTTTTGTTACAAGATGTAAATAAATTAACATTTTATCAGTGTTCAGATTACTAATAAAATACCGCATTTTCTAAGGATGACATTTATATTATAAAAAATTTTCGACAAAATTTTATTAATTTTTTTTTTTACAATTATTTTTTTCATATTCGCTATCTTATATAAATGTGTGCTGTAGATCAGAACTCTGCTTCTGCGCCTATTTTGCTGGAAATTGAAAGTTTGAAAATCTCTTTACCGCTTAATCTTAAATCGTAGTAAACAATGATAGGAATAGTGATAAAGACGATTTGTGCAAGAGATTAATAAGAAGTATGATTAATGATTAGTGCTGAGCTTGGTTAACCTATATTTATGTTTTGTTTTTGCAACTACTATTTATTTAACAATTCCAGAAATAGTACCTGAAAGAATTATTTGTGAAATAAGGTACGGTTAGGCATAGCTTCAGATACTCTATAAATCAATTGAAAGGAATTAATTGAGATTACTTATTATATTTTCCACCTTCTGTATTATTGAAAATTAAAACAAAATGAACTCTTCCGGAAACTGCAGCTATCAGCGAAATCGAAAAATGTTATTAGTTGTGTGTGTTGAAAATCGTATTATTTATGTTGAAATAATCTTAAATAATTTTGTATTAAATCAGCAAAATCTTGTAATCTTAGAAATTCTAAAAGTAGTATGAAATTGTTGCAATTCCAATTCTAAAAGTAATATAAAATTATTGCAATTGTTTTTTTTTTTCTTATATATATATAGTTTCAAGTCATTTGACCAACTGTTATCTTTCAATTGTGGCTAAAGCTTATCTTCATTGTCAAGAATGTTACAATCTGTTAACAGAGAATATGTGTATTGATTAATATTTTGTAAATTGTTCTCAATTTATCTCTTAAAAATTTTCCGGTTTAACGAGGTTAAAATGTTGAAAAGCTCTTTGTTTAAATTAGCTTTATTTGCTATAAATTTTACTTGAAAATATTGAAATATTGTGAAGATTGTCAAACTTGACAGCTACTCTTATAAGCAAATGGCATAAATGAAACTGTCACTTTATAAAGAGGAAAGTTCACTTAAAAGTGACAGCTCTTTACTTAATTAAATCATTGCAAATGATAACACTTTGTTGTAAACTAATGTCTATTACGTAAAGAATTCAAAACCATTGTCTGAGATCAATTTTTTTTTTCTTTTGATATAACGAACTTCAATTTAGTTTAAACTCAAACTCACACACTTAATTCACGTTTAACAATGGCAGTAATAGTAGGAAAATGAACGAAGAATGATAGAAAGTGATAGTAAGATAAATTAATAAACATTTAGAGTAAGTGAACTGTTGGTATTGTCGCGAATGATAATTTCGCGAACACTTCTAACCAATTCCATAATATCATAAATCATCTCTCCTTTTTAAATTGTAAGCACTCTTACAGTATCATGAATCATCGCTTCTTAAATTTGGCTTCTTAAGATTTATTACTCATGTGATTTTATGTAAAACTGAAATTAGCTTTCATTTTAATCTCTTCTTTGCAAACACTTCACATTCTTCACACATGTGATTTTTATCTTAGACACACCCAATCCTCACTCATATAAATTCAATTCTAATAAACAAAAGGAATCATTGCCGGCCATTATTGTCAGCTATTACTCTGATAACCAATCTCAATTTCCTTCGGTCTTCTTTTTATTATAAATTTTCTTTTATTGCTCAGATTATTAATAATACGTTTTCCTAAAAATAAAGGTTTATTAATCTTACTGCTGTATTACAGTTATTCGAGTATCAATCGACAAACCTTTCACGACAAAAAATTTATTTTAAGAAGATTGACTAACCTTTCCTTTGCCGGTTGAAAGCTTGCAATAATGTTGCTAGACATGTTCCCGGCTCGTGGCACCATTAAAGGAGAGATGATTTATGATATTATGGAATTGGTTAGAAGTTTTCGCGAAATTATCATTCGCGACAGGTATAATTTCATATTCAGTTAAATCATTTCTTTGCTATTATTGTATAACTATAATATTATATGGTATCGTAAGAATTATCAATATTATCAGTGATAATGTATAGTATCATGTAAGAAATATCAGCAGAGTTGTTATCAGTGGTATTGTATGATATCATATAAGAATTATCAATAAAGTTATTGTTATCAGTGGTATTGTATGATATCATATAAGAATTATCAATAAAGTTATTGTTATCAGTGGTATTATATGGTATCATATAAGAAACATCAATATTATCAATGATACTGCATAGTATTATATAAGAATTATCAATAAAGTTATTGTTATCAGTACGGTATCGTGAGAAATATCAATGGAGGTCTTGTTATCAATGATACAAGAAATATTAACAAAGTTATTATCAACATTGTGAAATAACAATAACAAACCACTAAATCTTTTCCCTCAACAATGTAACAATTGAATAAATCAAAACGTTGAATAGAAAGATTATTTTTCTCTTTTCAAATACATTCAATAAATGATTTCAACATTTTTTCATTGTTCCTTCTTCAATAAAAATTTACTATTTCCAATTTTCTATCTTTTTTTTTATCAGTAAAGTAACAGTATTCATTCATTGCATTATGAAATATTTAAATTGTATTTTCTAAAAAGGTGCATAAAACTATTTGCGTGGATTTTTTACTGATCAGGAATTTATCATTTATATCCAAAAATATTTACTCTTCCGTTTTACTATATTATTAATTTATTCTTTTAACAATAAGAGTTTTTTTTTTTTTTTTTTTTAAATTTTGCCAAAGATAATAATTTCAAAAGCATTTTTTTCTTTTCTGGACAAAAACAGATTTTACAAAAAGGTTTCCGTTTTCTTCTCTCTTTCTCTTTCTCTTTCGCTTTTTTATTTTGTGGAAATTAAAATGCTAAAGAGAATCGGAAGTCGATCGGATAATTTGCAATAGGTAAAATCGTAAATGAATGTAATTTGTGTTTTCAATTCTTTTCTCTCTCTCTCTCTCTCTCATCGACTAAATTGTTCAAAAGTCAACGAACTTCAAATGAATCAATGAGTCTAAGGATGAGTTTTTTATATGTGAAAATTTTAATTTTTAATTTGATGTAAAGTTTTTTGTAAATTCATAAATGGAGTAAAATAATGTTAGCATTTGAATAGCTTCTCGATTAATCCGATAGGATGAAAATTTCTTGAGATTATAGTATTACCTAACTTTCATTGCTTCTCTAAAACAAAATTAATTAAATAAAAATTATATCTCATAATGGTTATTTTTATCGAAAAAACCTTTCAAATAAATATTTGTGCTTAAAAGAAAAAAAATTTAATTCTTTAAAAAATGAAATATAACGGATTAAGAGAAATTCAAGAAATTTAAATTAAAAAGGCATAATGTTAAGGATAAGCTATACTGGATGATAGAGTAATGATTTTTTAGTGATTTCAAATTTTTTGAAAATTTTCAAATTTCAACTATTTTAAATTTTTTATCTGAAAAGCGGAATGAAAATTTCTTGAGATTGTAGCAGTATTAATTTCTCTAAAACAAAATAAATTGAATAATTTTATCTCATAGTGATAATTTCGTGGAAAAATTAAAAAAAAAAATTATAATCTGTATAAAATAATAAAATTATTTTTTAATATAAAACATTTTCTAGATAAAAAGGATTTGAATTTATCACATTATACAAAAATTATTTTCAACATTTTTTCATGCAAAATGATAAATCTGTTATTTAAATTTAAATTTTTTAATATGCAAAATTTTATTTGTCAAAAGTTAATTTATAAAAAATGTAAAATATTTTCTTATTTGTAAAAAAAAAAAATTCACTTGTAAGTTAATTTCTAAAAAAAAAAAAACTTCATATACCCATCTTAAGAAAGCTAAATATAAATTCCAATATTTTATTTTATTGTTTATTTGCAATATATTAAAATAAATGTTTATTCTACTGAGGCATTTCTTTACTATTAAAAAAAAAAAAAAAATTTTCTGATTCTAACATTCGTTTTACATTACTTTTATTTATTATATTATTATACTTTAATCTTTTCTTTTTTGTATCTTAAAATTATTTTCTAAATTTGTTTATCTACGATATTGCAAATAAACTAACAAAAATACAATTTCTTTTATAGTTTATATTTGATTCAAAAAAATGTAAGTTTTACTTTACTTATTATATCTAACTTATTTACCAATTTAACATTAACCTTTCATTAAAAATCGATAAATAATTGTCCGATTATCTTTTTTTCTCTTTCTCTCTCTCTTCTTTTAAATATAATCATAATTTAAAAATATAATAAATACTTATAGGTGAAAGAAGTGTGAAATTCTTTCAAATGACACAAATTCTTTTGTAATATTTAATTCAACAATTCATTAAATGAATTTTTCTTTTTTGAATTAAATGAATTTTATTTAAATTAAATGTTTTGTTTAATATTTAAATTAAATGATTTTTCATTAAATGATTGATTGAATTAATAATGGCCATAAATGTATAATGAAATTCGTGTTGAAAACTTTTTAAAATGCTAAAAAGAATTGCTAAAAGAATTTTTTGATAATCAAGATATCAAGAAATTACATAATTATATCTGTTTGGCAATTATTAAAATTGTTAGGAAATAAAGAAAATGACAAATTTCATTGATATTTCATCCTAAATTATTTTGATAAACAAAAATTTTAAATTTACTGCT